GTATGTCTACTACAAGTACATGTGCATCCAATTACCTGTGTGCGATGGTGTCTATCTATCTGCATGGCTCATCCATGGCCATGCATGTCTGCGCCCCCCCCAGGTGACTTCCGTCAGGTTTGCTCCAGGGAGAGCAAATCTCCTTCTTACTAACTCAAAAGACAGCTCTCTCAAGGTGAGACATTCTGTGAAGTGCTGCGGTGCGATTGCATGGCGGACCACGTGATACTCGTTGTCAACCTCACACGACGAAAGCTCAGACGGGATGGGAGGGGCGCTTCTGCAGTACGGCAGTGTGTTGTTCGTGTTGCTCAATGTACCCCGCCATGTGTCCCAGTCACCAAGGGAATTCAGTTACACTACCGGAGACCCGTTCTGCAGTTTTGATGGGCAAGCAGACAACGGATGCACGAAACTCTCGTAAGTTCGTAAGGCGTGTCCACGCTATTTCGCCGCATTCCAGCCCCGGTCGCCCCGGTGGTCTAGTTGGTATCCTCGAAACCTTCTAGAGGTCAGGTTAGGGGTTCGAATCCCGGCGTAAGCGAGCTCTTCTTGCAAAGTAAGTTTTTCTCTCGCTTCCGCTCCTGACCTAGTGGATAGCGCTAGTTCGTGTGTACACAGAGGGAAGAGAGTGCTGAACTCTTGTCGCATCAAAAATCGAAGGCAAAGTACCGCAGGAGGGGAGGGTAGAGAGGGCTCTTCTGTGTGACCACGGGTTGGAGTAAACGGCACTAGTGCTGTGAGCGCTGATTTGAAGTGAAGACAAAAAAAAACAACAAAAAGGATGGGTCGATCTGCTGCCTGCAACCGGCCACCCCTCTCGCATACATGTATCCCCCGGTCTCCTGGGTGTGGTTGTGTCGTCAATTTCTCGTGCTGTCGACGTTGATAACCTCCTTGATGACCTCCTGACCCCCTTTTCTTGATACGGACCCTTTAGGTCGTAGACGCACGGATGTACCAGATGGTGGCGTGCCTCACCCACCCCAAGTTCCGTACAACCTCCAGCTTCTCCCGCGCCTGCTTTAGTCCATCCGCGGCGTACGCCGCCGCCTCCTCCTCGAATGGGAACGTTTACGTCTGGGACATCGCCCGCAGCAGCAGCAGCAGCAGTGGTGCTGCTTCTGCTGGCGGAGCGGAGACGGTTGCTGCTACGTCGCCGATGGCCGCAAGCACGTCGACTTCGGTGGTGACGGTTTTGCAGACTCATGGCGTGGCGGCGTCGGGGTGCGACTGGTGCCTCAACATGCCTAGTACCCTAGCGTCGTGCGATTCCAATGGCGGGTTGAGGGTGTGGGGGTAGGGTTGCTAGGCGGAATGCTGTGTGTTCAGCGGGGTTGGAATTCCTGCAGGTCTTCCTGTCAGTGGGTTTGCCACATTGTCTCTTGTGCTTGAAGGTGAAAGCGCTGGGATCCTACTAGAGCGAATTTTTTGAGCCAGGTGCACGGCTGTGACTAGGTCTTTGTCAAACAGATAGCATGGTCTCAACCATCCATACGTGTGCTGACACCGGCTGTTGGGTGCCACAGGCTGGTGCGATTGTATGTCCTAGTTACAGTGAGGGCAGGGGTGTGCCCAGAGATTTTTCTTGCACTATTCCGGGCACCTGCACTATTCAAGACAGGTATTATATAGGGTTATGTATAAGAGTGGACATTCGGGTCCAGACATTTTACCTGCACTATTCCGGACACCTGCACTATCCCCGCCCCCCCCACTGTACCGGATTTGGGGCCGTTTTCTGTTCGTGTTTTGGCTCCCCTCAAGAACGAGGTGGCTATGCCAATCTGTTAATAGAGTGGTACTGTAGAAGCAGCGAAAGCTTGTCCTCTAGTCCTCTGATTGTCGGTTGTAGACTCATCCAGTATTTATGCTGATTGGTCGTGCACACTCACACGGGATTATTCTTTGCTGCAACGATGACTTGATCCTGCGTACCCTTCGGACCTCAACAGTTGAATCATTTGGTATCATTTTCAAGCACCTGCAGATTACCTAACGTTGTACGGAACCCATTCCCCTGCGCCAAACGTGCTTTCGCAACGGCCAGACACAACGCTTAGTGCTGTACGCGTGAGGACGGCAGGCTCGACTCTTGTCTTGTCTGCCTGGCTTCTTGACCCCTTGAAATCCCACGTGGACAAGCCAAGATTGCACGGGGAACCGCTTTCGACCCAAACACATCGCTTAATATGTGACCCTCTCCTCTCTACAACAAGCCTTCTTCAAACGCGAATGACAAAGCCGAGATTGACATCTGTCTACCTGCTGGCCCGAGCGTCCAAATGCCATAATTACCGTTGACTGAGATGCCGCATCTACAAAGAACAATGTTAGACGCGGCAATCGGATCGTTCATGCCACAGCACTGTCCTTCCTTTGAAGCTTTGAAGAATGCCAAGAGACTGGCCTGGAACAAAAGCCGGTTGTTTCCGTTTCTCAAGCGCTCGGGACAGAGGCTTCATCGAGCCGGCAACCATCGGCAGTGAATCAGCCGTTCAGAAGGCAAGCACGTTTCCCATGAGGTTCCGCCCAAGAGCGACGCGCGATGCACTCACTGCCTCTGCCACTCACTACGATACAGAGACTTATTAACAGCTACACGCGGAGCGCAGCCGGTGGAAATCGGCAACCGCTCTGATACAATCTAGAAAGCTTGGTTGTGAAGCATGTAAGCCCCGCGACAGAGCCTTGTGCCTCGAAAACACACACCCTGCCGACACCGTTCAACTTGCTGGTCTACTCCACATTACTCCGCGCTGTTTCTTCAAATGTGCGTAGCTTGGCGCCCACGCCCCTGACCCCTCTCCTCATGCCTTGGCCTCCTCGCTACTCTTGAACTCCGCTCGTTTCGTCTCGATGTCGCCGATTTTTCTCCGCATCACCATCACGATAGCCTCCAGGTTCTTGCGCTTGACGTCGATCGCATTGCGGAGAGACTCCAAGTTCGTCGTGACCATGTCTTTCTGCATTTTTTTGTTTTCCCAAACAGATGGTTGTAAAATCGAGAAAGAGGTACTTGCGGCAAGGGCAACAACATTGCTCAAGACATTGTGTCTGTCAGTTGTAGGAGGGTGATCCCGATAAGGCGGGTCAGAGAGGACAAAAAGGGCACATGATTTTAGGACACGGTGAGGACCGGTTGGGTGCAGCAGGGAGAGGAAGGACGTACGGGATCGTGCAAACGAAGGAGGCGCACTATTCACTGGCGTCAGTACTGTTTAACTTCCCTGCCCTGCGATTTCAAGGACGGCAATGTTTGGCGGACGTAGGTATCTAGTATCTAGCATTCCTACGATGTATTGTTCATCCAACGATACACATGGCCAGTAATAGTGCTTGCGACGCTGACCTTTCTCCCCAGGAACTCTGCCGTTTTCTGCTGGTCCTTCTGCACGTAGTAGCCCGTCCCCACGTCCACCATCATTTTGTCCGCCTCAACGATACGCCCCGGCACGTACAATGACTGCGTTAACGGCACCTTCGAAACCGGCGAAATACAAGCAGGAGTGGGAGCAGCAGAAGCAGAAAAAGAGTAAACACAATACACTCGGCAAGGCGATCCGTCACATACTGCAAGCAGCAATCCATCATGCCGACAACAGCCATTTACCTAGGGTGGACAAGCAGGAAACAGGTGATGCACGCATAGCAAAGTGCGGCATGACTCGTTGCCCACTGAGGCGCAAGAGGTGCACCAAGGATGGGCCAACTGCTGCTAATTGCACAGAAGCGGTAAGATTTGTCTCTCCTCTCTCCTCTCACCAGAATCTCCTTGTCTTCCGTCTTGCTCCCCAACGCCTCCACCGCTGAGATCGATTCAGAAAATCGTGCCTGGGGTGATGCCATGTCAATGCCAAACGAAGAGTGAAAGCAGCGGGGGTGTAGATACGTTGTATTGACATCATCGTGCGTACATGTATGATGCATGCACAGCCTTTGTGGAATACATGGAGGGAGAGGGAGATACAGGCAATTGACGTTCGATACTGAAGCAGTGGACACCCTCCCAAACCTACTGCCAGCAGCACAGAACATTTCAGCTCGTAGGTGGGTTCCAATCAAACCATGAGGCGCCAAGAAATATGACATCCAACGTAGGCTGACCTTGAGCAAGTGTTCGTGATAACGGCAGCTACGTCCCTCCGCAAGGATCGGGACGTGCCGTAAATTCTAACGCCGACTTGGAATTGATACCTACGGCGCGGCTTCCCTAGTAGGGGTCCAAGAGGCTCTGGGACTATTTAGTGCTGGATGTATATGGGAGGTGTCGTAAACCTGGTCAAGGACAGATTTTGATATACGTCGTTCATCCCTGAGCGTCTCTAGCCCGTAACCAAACCCAAGTCGAGCTGATCCCCATCCCCAGTGGTATGGATAGGCAGCCCGTGCAGTCCGTGAGTGCTCGAATACCATGAGCCAATCAACGTGCAGAACTGGCTGGAAGCATCTTGTGACCCACCTGAGCGTCTCTGAGTTTCATGAAGTTTCCTGACAGAGTCTGGACCTCTTCCTCATGCTGCGTCTTCATTTGGTTGAGCTGCTCCAACGACAGCACCGACAGGTCGATACTCTGTTGCTGTTGCCCTCCCGCCATGGTCACCTGCCGCTTGACTGCCTGTTGGCGTCTGTTTGGTCCCTTTTCCTCGCCGTTTTCTCCCTGTCAGCAATGAGCAGGGCGTTAAGAACAACGCATTTTGTAGAGGGTGAGTGTACACATTCTTAGGCCCACTGTGCCGCAAAAAACAACCGGGTCACGCAGTTAGTCCAGATTGGAGAAAGTATGTGTATGTGCAAGAGGCCGCGGAACACACTTGTGTCTTGCGTTGTCGGAGTCCAGTATAAGCTGGTTCAGGGAAATGGATACAACAAGATTCAACAGCAAAACTTCACGCCGTTTTTAGGAGTTAGACTCTGAAACTTTGCACACATGTACCTTGGGGCATTACGAAACGCTGTGTGGAGGGGCCTTTTTTTTTTTTTCCCTGTCGCCGGATACGCCGAATATCCGGGGTCCTAGAGATTTCGGGGTCGTGTGCGGCTCCTGGGACCCCGAATAACCGGCGACCATGGAAGGAAATGAAAAAGGACCCGCAGAACAGCGTTTCGTATTGACCCAAGGTATATGTGTGCGAAGGTTCAGAGTCTAACTAAAAAAAACGGCGTGAAGTTTTCAGCTCTTGTGCCATGAAGTATTTCGCATCCTGAATTTCCCCAAACTACTTGATTGAAGTATGAAACGGCGAAAATCAGGTTCTTTTGACGCCCAAACAACCCCATTTAATCAGTTTATAGAATTAGTTCATGAAAGTTCATAGACACGGTTTTTGGAATATGTAGGTGAGGTAGAATCAAGAAAAAAAAAAATCACATGTTGGGACAGATTTTTGGGGTCCCGCAAAAGAGGCTATCTCCAACGCAGTTTGGCCCACCGACGGCAAGTCACAAATCGACAATTTTTCAACCGTATTAGGCAAGTTTATGGGCGATGTCGACGAAACTCCATGCGAAGCTTCATTGCACTATAACGGTGTCGTTGGTTCATGAAAGAATCACGAACAGCCATGTTACCGGCATGTTGGGGTCTGCAGAGAATCTACCTACTTATTAGCCGGAAACACCGACCGTGCTGCCCCTAAGAGAGATTTTTTATCATCGCAGCGCGGCCTTGTGCCAGCTGAACTGGGTGATAAAACACTGTTGATTTATGCACCGAGAACGCGAACATGCCAACATGCATGGACCGGTTTGCTGAGGGTCACACCGCGGCCGCTGCGTGTGCGGCGAGAACCTCCGGAGGGTCGGCCACGCTGATGTCGCTCGTGGGTGCATCAGTCACCGGGGGTGGCTGCTCGTGAGGCTCCAGCAGCGTGACGTGTTGCCCCTTCGTTAGCGTGGAGATATAGCCACGGCCTGTGCATCCATTGCAGCATCCTCCTGGTCGCACACTGCAACCCGCCGCTCCATGTATCTCCTCCGCTGTTCTGATTTGCAATCGCGCCTGACGTACGCAAACGTCCGGCGCCCGAGTCCGGCGTTATGCAACCTGCTGCAGCGTAGGCGCATCAGGATTCTGGCCTCCTGCTGCAACCCCCTCAAAGCTCTGGCGCGTTCCGCTTGTTTTTGGATGGCACACTTCTTGGCGACTTCGCAGTTCGGCATCGTGCCTGAACACCGGTGGGGGGTAATTTTAACGGAGGACAGACCGGAACATACGGCGATAGCATGGCCGTTAATTAAACTGTGCGATAGAGCTTTGATACAAGGACTGTGTCTTGGTAGAAAAAAACAAAGAGCGCCTGCTAGAGGACCGTTACTCAAATTGAAGAATAACCCGTGAATGTCAATCCTTGTACTCTGCAAAACACACAGCCTCCCGTCGTGCAATACGGCAGCCCCTCTAAGCCAATGTTGGTGTCTGTGTTTATCTGTGGGTGCGGTATGCCCTTGTGTCGGTTGCTGCTGGACGCGACTTGTAAGAGTTGGGCACCTTGTTTTTGAGACGGGTTGCATGTATACAAGTTCGGGCCTGACTTGTACACAATGTTTTCTTGTACAATTGCGTGCTGCTGCTGTATGCCCTGGTGCGTACTATAAAATAGAGACAGTTTGTAAACACAAGTTCGGATCTGGCGTGTACAACCACTGTGTACTTCTTGTATGTACACCTGCGTGCTGCTGAGCACTGCTGTGTTCTATTAGAAGCACAAATCAGAGATGGGTTGTACAATACACTATACTTTTTGTATCAATACGAGTAGTACTGCACTGCTGCATGCTGCACAACTCGTCTACTGTTCAAGATTGTCCGATGCAAACAACGGGATTCATGTCGAGGTTCTCCAGTGCATACATACATATGGATGCTGTTGTACTGCAACTTGCCGTTTTTTCACACAGCTACACTTGTCATGGAAAACACGCTCCAACCATACGCATGAACGCCGGCTAGTGTTGTTGCACACGTCACCACCATGCTAGCAACGCGCCCGCCTGGTTGCTACTTTGCTGCATGTTTCAACCCACCACGGAGTACACACCCTGCCGCTTTGCTGCTGCTGCGGTTGTACAGCAGTACTGCTGTACAGCAGTAGCTACGTGCAGCAAGATCCGCTCAGCAATCGTAGACTCACCGTGCTTGGGCGACAAGCTCCGCCTTCGCATGGGCTCTTCCAGCTCACTTGTCCAGTTGTCCGCGTCTCCGAGAGCTTCCGCCTTCGTCTCAAACTTGAAGGCGGTGTTTTTGTGAATGCCCGTGGCATGTGGCCGTGGGTGATACGTGCATCTGAGCCTCCAACGCTTCGTGTTGCTGCACTGCATTGCGCAAACTTGCGATACTTTGCGTTTGTGGGTGTCAACGTTGGGATCCACACTTTGTAGTGGATCCATTGTGGAGGGTCTCCTTGCGTACGAGAGGCGTGCGCAGAGGTACTCAGCTGGTTGTAAGGCAGCACCGGTGCAGCAGGAGCTGCGACAACGGCTGAGATTTTCAACAAAAAAGGCGGCGTTATTATGCTTTTTGTCCCCGTTTTGGGAAAAGCCTGCATATCATCGAAATATTTGGAGGCTCCTCATTGGCTGAGGCACGCAATGGCCCATATCTTCCCAGCGAAGCCTTAAATCGAAATTCCGGCCACGACGATTTCTTCCTTTGCTCGTGGGGGTCACTATAATACTGCGTTTGTCAACATTATGTACAAAATTCGTCTGGCAGGAGTGGTTGAATAAATTTTGGTCCATTTCCCTGAACCAGCCTGTATGGAGAACTTTGTGAAAGACAGGCGAACAGACTTGTCTATCGTTGTCGACAAATTAAGAGTACAGGAAATCCGTGGGTGATTCTCCCCCGAGATATGATATTACCTGCAGGATAGCATGCCCTCGCCACGGTCCCCCCCCTCCCTCTCACACCTCTCACGCCCACACTGCCCCCCAGAACCCGGAAATCTTTCCTATTAAAAGGCGCTTGGCCGCTTCCTCCAGAGTCTTTCGGCTATACCAATCCTCAGGATTCTCCATACTGCAAGGTCACGTGTTTAAACCATTCGATATTTTGGCCTACTTGACAGCCGGCTTGTAGACCTCTGAACACTATCGACGGATGGATGCCACAGCTGTAGTACAGTAGTGCAGCAGTAATGGGCAGTTTACTACTCGAAGCTTGAACAGGTGGCTCGATCCTCCACAAAACATTCGCGATGAGTACCGTTCAATCAACACAAAACCGTTGTCGATGTAAGGAGCAATGGCACCGTGATACACCACAGTGTGTGTCGGAGAACGATTGTAGATCCACAGGGAAGATACTACGGCCGTGTGGAGGAGGATCCTGTCAGCCTTGAGGTTACTCCTCTTCCTCTTGGCTGTTGATGCATGGTCTAAACCTTTGAGAATAGATATGCAGGAATGGTCATGTAGCTCACTGTGCCCGGATCCCGCCAGTGCATGCATGGATATGAGCAACAACTTTGCAAAATTTCGCAGCCAGCGCCATCCCACACAAACAAATGCACCCTAGATCCCCCCCCCCGGTGTTTGCCATCGGGGTTGGGTTTTCGTCGCTTGGCAACGACGTTGTAAAACAAGCCAATTCACTTCGTGAACTCGGCAACCAGGTTACCGTTTTTTTTTTTTACCTCCGTTTTTTTTTTTGGCGGTAACCATAATGGTGGTCGAGTAGATCATGTTGTGCGGGGTGGAGAACCCTCACTCCGCGCAAGGGGGATGATCGCACCACGTTGTGTTAAAATGGTCAAGCACCCTCGAGGCAGTTACACAGTGCTTACAACTGTCTCTGGAAGTGAAAGCACCAGAAAATAAATTAAGTCATACGCAGCTGTCATCCGTACGCAAGGAAGTAAGCACAAGATGCCGAAAACCCTTAGCAGGATGCAGCGCACCCTTCATGCGACTCGCCGAATATCTCACGGCGCTTCGCGCTTGGTGATGTGAGAGCCTGGTCCGGTGAGAACCCGGCGTGCTCCGTCCCGGCTTTGTAGGGATGCGAGGTCAATGGTCTAACGACTACGGCATGCACGACTATGAGTACACCCCCCTCGCCTGCACCACAAGCCCTGTGAGACTGCAGTCACGCCGGGAAGTGACTTTTCCGCACCCAGGTAAGTGTCGCCCCTAGGAGTAGGCGTTGTGCCGTACAAACGATACCGGACTTCTGCTGTAATGTAACGCGATGCCAACCGCGTATAAACTAGTTGTACGACACCCCTCGTGCTCGGGAACAGGACAAGACTAGACTAGACTACAGCAGTACAAGACAACCCTGCTGGCATCTGTAGACTACCGCACTGCTGCTGGCGTCTGCGGACTACAGCAGCATTTGGTGTTGTCTGTTGTCACCCTTGTTTACATTCAGTACATAGACTCGTGTGTTTGCGAGACTGATCTCGACCGCTACTTGCGGTATGATATAACCGGCAACAAGCTGTAGAGGGACGACCAAAGATAAATATCCAACAACACAACAGCAGCAGAGCGCACAATGAAGAAGCCATGCTGCAGACACATCTTTGTATCCATTGCCGAGGCAGATGCCACCTGCGCTGTGTTCTTGCTGCAGGTGAATGTTGTTGCCAGGAACTTGTGCGGTTACGTTGCTGCAGGAGAGGCAAGCAATTCGTTTCTACATGGAACGCACGACGCAGTAAATCTCCTCACCTCCTCTCTTCCTCTCTCTGTGTTGGCAAGCACCTTCCTCGCTGTGTGCTGCTCGTCTCCACCCACCAGCATGACATACAACTCGATTCGCTACGGGGCTCCGCAGTTTGAAATTCAAAGGGAGTTTGGTTCGGGGTTTGTTTTCAGGCTTCCCCCCGCCTGTGTAGTCTCGTCTCTCTCCTCTGACACACGAGAGCGATACAGAGAGGTACTTGAGATGGCAGTGACAGTGCTATTAGCAGCACTGCTGGCAAGTGTGAGGCCTGGTGCCGGCTTCATAGCTCCAACCCTCCCTAGACCACCCGGTGTCGCATCCCAAAAAGCGATCTCACACCAGCACACACCGCGGGCCGCACGATGCCCACAGTCCCGCCGAGCCTCCGCCGCATCAGAGCAAGGAGAAGATGAAGGAGAGTCGTGGATGCCCTCGCAGGCGCAACGTATCCCGGAGGATCCCGACGAGTTGCAGGTGGGTGGTGGTGGTTGTTCCTGCCGTCGCTCTCCCTGGCGCGCTATGTATTTCTCAAGAAACAAGACAAGACGCGTGTGGTTTCGCGAAACGCAAGTTTGCACGTGTGTTGATGTAGCAGTTGAAGAAGGGCCAGCGTCGGAGTGTTCGTTGTATGACTTGTTCTTAGTCGCCGCCGTGATGACTGCTGTTGACGTCTCGAAGGGTACAGCAGCATCTGCCAAGCGTTATCACTACCTTTTTCGATTTTTTCAGTGGCCCAGGCATGGTCTCGTGCCAGCTCTCTTATCTCTCTCTCTTTTCAGGCGTCGAGATTGGTTTAGGCCTGTCCTCCATCGGCCGTTTTTTTTTCCTTTTTCGGCCGCTTTTTTTTCTCTTTCGGCCGCTTTTTTTCCTTTTTCGGCCGCTTTCTTTCCTTTTTCGGCCGCCCCAATTTTTTTCGGCCACCCCAATTTTTTTTTCGGCCACCCCATTTTTTTTTTCGGCCACCCCGATGTGTGCCCGTACTAGCCCGTACAGGTACCCTTTTAACACCCTCTCGTGCATCCTATGCTTGTTGCCCAAGATGGATCGGGGCTCGTCCATTTATCTGTTTTCTTTGGAAGTAAATAACTCTGTGTCTAGTCGCAGTAATGCACCGGTTTATCACTAGTCATCATTGAGAAAAAGAGTACTATTTCATACCATACGCCTCCGAAGCCTACTCTTTCGTGTTTTATCTCTCATGTCGTCTATTGCCCGTCGCTCATGTCCACGTCTACCACCCCCGCCTCCGCGCTAGCCCCTCCACTGCCAGGCCCCTCCTCCTCCTCCTCCTCCTCCTCCTCCTCCCCGTCCCCCTCCTCTTCCTCCCCCTCTGCTTCCCCCTCCTTCTCCTCTGCTAATTCCTCCTTGTCATACCGCAGCTTCAGAGAATGCCTATCCCTTCCTCGGTTGTACTTGATGAGGGCGGCAGCCATGATCCTGTCTGACAAGCAGCTGTTCTGACTTGAGACTAAGCAAGAGCGTACTGTCGAAGACACGCGCTCCACGAAAGCCGACGAGGGTTGCACTAGAGCAATGTCCAAGACTACGGCGAACCACGTCGGGAGTTTCTCTTTGTGGTCCTGCCAGAACTGCCAAAAATCGTAGTCTCTGTCCGTCACGCGGGCGGCCACATAGTAGTAGTCTTTTTCGGTGAGAAACTTGTCGACTTGTTCCTCCGAGGTGAAGGGGAAGACGGCGAGGCTGCGGACTTCGTTGGCGCTGTACTTGTGACGTCGCATGAAGGTGAAGTCGATGAGCCGCGCGGCCTCCATATACTTGAGTACTGTCGCCCGCTCAGCGTCCTCGTGGGGCCCGATCTGATCGTATGCGTAAGTGCGCAGAGGGACGAGTTCGTCTTGAAACTCAGCCTTGAGAAGGTCGGCGGTGGCTCCCTGCGTGTTGAGAGAGTGAAAGGAGCCGGGAGGAAGGAGGGACGGGACAGGGCGAAGGGTTTTGAGTGGGTGATAACGTGCGGTTCTGTTCGGTGTACACTACACGATTGTCAGGTGGTTGCAAAGTACATGAACCACTGGAGTAAAATTAATTTACTTACGAAGTCGTCTCCCTGGCCAATGCCGGCGGCGATGACAGCGTCCAGAGTAGGCAAAGCCACGTCCTCCTTGAAGAGCCCATCGTTGCCTAGCTCGAGCTGGGACCGGAACTTCTCGATTTTGCTGAACGCTTGGTGCAGCTGCAAATAAAGGAAACGCGCAGGCAAAGCACAAAGACCATAAAAAACCGGGCAAAGTTCTCGGTAAACAAAAGTACTTGTATGCTTGTGGGCATCCGCATATCCACCCCTACTACATTACAGGAACCAGACAGACAACGTACGTACCAGTGGCTCGTCGCCTTCCAGGAAGATGCAGGCAGCGGTGACGATCTTGCCCACGTCCACAAGTACAGCCAGCTGCATCCGAAGGACGAGGACCTGATCCTTCCCGTCGTTCCGCTTCCGAGCTAGCTCCGATCGCAGCCATGTCGCCGTCTTGGACTTTTCGTCGTCGTTACTCTTGTACGCCTCGATGAACTTCACAACACCTGGCCAGTTCATGGCGATGAGGTAGTCGCGCTCGTACCTCGAACCCCACCGGTGGTTGGGAGTTGGAGGATCTGTGACGCCGACTATTTCGCGGAAGAGGGCCTTGGCTTGCGGACTGTGCGAAAGCAGAGTGTGCAGCTTGCCCAAGAACTCGTCCACGTCCGGGAATCTCAGTCGGGTCCCGATGTTGTTGAACAAGTGGGAGAAGCAGGGGATGCCCACCGACTTGCGGTAGATGTGCTGCGTGAGGGAGTCGAGAGCAAGCAGGTTGGCCGCGCAGCCGTCGAGCATGAAGCCGATGCAGCGTGACGCCCTCAGGTTAAACTCTTCGCCCAAGGTGTCGTTGACCTGGCCGACGATGTCTCGAGCCGACATAGACTTCTTCAGCATCGCAATCTTGAGGACACGCTGCACCACCTGCTGCCAGGAAACGAGGGAGAGCGTGGAGTGGTGGGGAGCGGGGGGAGGGGCCGGGGATGGCGTCGTGAGACAATAATTGAGAGTGAGATTGAAAAGCACCGATGAAACCTTGCTCTATTGGGCTGGTGCGATCTGCTCAATGCTGTCTGCTGTGCTGCTGTGCTCGGCGTATGCATGCGATAACGGAATAACGGTGCGGCGGTTTCTATAATTGAACGCAATCATTTTCTGTACCTGGCCGTTCTAGTTGATGAATCGTAGTCCGATGCCGAAGCATTCGCAACGGTACGGCGTGGCGTCGAAGCACACCGTGTAATTCCCGTTCCCAAGCTCCGACAAGGTCGTGTCAAGCTGTTGATATTCAAAAATGCAGAGGGAAGTAAAAAGACAAAAAGAAAGCGTTACTGAATGCTGAGGCAGTCGAATGTGGTTTGCGTGCAACACGCAACTCCACCGCCCCCCCCAAAAAAAACACAGCTAGGAATACCTACAGCAGCGCCATTTATCCAGCAGCAGCTTAAACCCACTTGGAAATAAAATTTGATCATGAAAGGGGGTTCGACCAGTCGAGCAGCTGTACGCACCTCTTTGCGCAGCAGGAACGGGACGTGCTTGGCAAGATGACTGCGTCCCGGCGCGCGGATGTTCGCGAAGTCGAAGAAGGCCTTCATCTGCGGGTCCTCAAGGGCATGAAGCGGGATGCCTGCCGACAAACATCCAGCCACCAACTTCACCTGCAGGAGCTTGTCACGGTCGCTCAGGGTGTCACCGTACATCCCCCCCTTGGCTTTCGACATGATTCCGAAGGCACGCAGCGTGCCCTGCAATATTACGAGTGTCGGGAAGGCAGTAGGACAAGGGCGAAAATGTGCTGTGGTCCTTTGTATGTTATCACCAGGTATATTTCTTGTGTTTTTCTTTACGGGAAATGCATTTGTCGACACTACCACGGAACACGGATCAGCAGGCGACACTGCACGGAGCACACAACAGCATACGAGACCAGCACACAGTAGTGATACAACGATACTCTTTAGGCATGTATGTACATACAAATAAACTTCGAAATATTGACTGAAACATTACGAAGTACTTCTACAGCAGTAGAATACAACCGAGTACCGCT